GGCTATCTCAGGGGGCGGCGTTATGGTCTGCAAGTTTGGAATGCGTTTTTCAATGTCCTTCAGATCATCGCCGCGCGCCACGCGGGCTGCGGCGGCCGATGCGGGGCCGAGCGCGGGGCGGCGGGTGGGGGCAGGTTGGGAGGTAAGTGGTCGGTTGGTGTGCCAGGGTGACTAGGCGTTACTTTTCAGTTGGGCATGTGTCTGTTGGGTCACAGGTGTCCATGGCGGTGATGGCAGCCTTGGGGGCGGCAAGGCGGTGCAGATGCGCCGCATCGCCAGTGATGCGGGACGCGCTATCACCACCACCGCCGGTGGTCTCATCCATGCGCCCGCGCGCACCTGCGCAGCCCAGAACCAGCCCGACGCACAGCAGCGTGGCCGCTTTCATAGCGGTAGACCCTGTGTAGTGTTCGAGAGTCCGGCGGTGTCTCTCAAACACAAACTCGGCCACGTCGCTGGTACCGCTCGCGGACACACGGGTGACTTTGGCACTAAAGATTTGCGATGTGGTAAAAAAGCAGATTCCGCCTTCCGATCAAGACCTGATCGCTCCCGACCGAGGGCTGGTGAGTCCGGGTGGCCGGCTGATGCTTCGCGCTGGCTGAGGTTGTAGCGCGACGCTCTCAGTAGAACGCTACCCAATTCACCGCATCGAATTGTAGGTCGAAGCCGCCCGCATTATTGGGTGACACCCAGAAGCCGCTCTTGCAGGGCGCAGAAGGTGCAGACCGATTTTTCAATGCAGGGGGAGCTGGTCCTCGCAGGTAGGCATGCAAATGCACACAACGCAAGCAAGCGCTCAACCTTATCTGGGTTTGTTGCACTCCGCACGTCGCGTATGCGTCGCTGCAGGTCAACATTGCCTGGCGAGACGATTTGACCACTTCCAAACCCAATAGGGCCCGACCGCTCGTGCTCGCGGGGCATGCGCCTCGGGCCAGCGGTCGGTGGTTGCATGTAGGATGTTGCGTGGCCGCAGGCGCCGCTCAGTTCAACCGCACGAAAAACTGGAACACGTGGCGAGGCCGCACTCCTCAGACTCAGGGGCGTGCAGCCCTGCTGCCCCACCACGCATGCATCGATCCCTGCCTGCTTCACTGATGACTGCCGGAACCAACCCCCTCGGGTGAGCGCCGGCACCCCGATGCTCCACCCATCACGCCGGCCCAAAAGCACCTGCTTACAAGCTCGTGTTCAGAGAGCAGCCGCATCAAAGCGACTGCCCCGGCGCCCAGGCGCCCCATCTTAAAAAGGCCAGCAAAGCCACCAATCTGCGGTCGCGCCCACCTCGAAACAGCACCGTCGTTCGTCTTTGTGGATTGCTTATGTCTTGACACTGGCTGCAGATACTGCAACCATCCTCATGCGCTCAACCCTGAAAATCGTCGGCTTGCCCGCCTGCTGCCGGCACGGGGTGGGCGTATATACCCTCACATCCTTGGTTGAGTTCCCTCACTCTAGTGCAGGCGCCCCGCACGGCCCCCCCAC